GAAAAACAACAACAACAACAACAAAACGAATGGAACGAGGAAAACACAAAGGTGAAGCAAATAAATTTCACAAATGGACTGGTTTAATTTTGATTGGGAATCAAAATATCCTCTACTCTCTAAAATTGTGTGTAGCAAAACATTTGAATGAAACAGACCTTTTAATAAGTCTATTGTCAAATTAGATCAATTAAATCAGGTCTCTGAAATATATACTATGATGATAAAGTATAATACCTATAGTATAGACACAATTCCAAAGTGAATGCTACCAAATGGATTAATTTCATTTTAAGTGGGATGAACATTATAAACTTTATGAATTTTATAACCACTATAAATTCATTGAATTAATTTTCAGGTAGATAAAAAAGTAAAGTTTCTTTCAATATCTTGACTGTTTCAAATTTATAAATATACAGCAACAAATTGTGTAAGAAAGGGGAACATATTAAAACTATTTGTCTGGTACCTGAACCTTGGGACTATGAATTATCTGAGATGAATCAAACAGATTCGGTTCCTGGTGCAGGATTTAGTATTAAAAATAGTATTAAAATGTGTAGAAGAGCTACCTAGCTACCTTTTAAAAATTTAATTTCAATAGCTTTTGGGGTACAAATGTTTTTTGGTTGCATGGATGAATTGTATAGCAGTAAAATCAGATTTTAGTCTCCAAAGTCCATTATTCTACTCTGTAAGCTTTTGGGTACCCACAGATTAGCTCCTACTTATGAATGAGAACCTATGGTATTTGATTTTCCATCTTAGTTACTTCACTTAGAATAACGGTCTCCAGCTCCATCCAACTTGCTGCAAAAGACATCGTATCATTCTTTTTTATGGCTGAGTAGTATTCCATGGTGTATTACATACCACAGGTTTTTTTGTTTGTTTGTTTGTTTTTAAATCCACTCAGTGGTCTAAGGACCCTTGGGTTGGAATAGTTGCTTTTTTGAATGATCTTAAATAAACTAACATAAAGCATTTCATGCTTTCTCGAAATCTCTGTTAGCCCCCACATTTAAGAGAACCCACAGACTAGTATGTTACATATCTCTTCCACCTGTTATTTTCTCATCATTTCTACAACATTGGTTTTATTCTTCTTAATCTCTTATTATAATTACTCTAATCATCTTCTAACTTACCTCCCATCCTCTTTTGCTTTTATTTATTAATTAATTCATTCACCTAATAGAAATAATCGAGTGTCCACCCAATGCCAGGGTGGCTTTACTATCCTGGTGCCTATACTTCTTCAAACCTGCATTCATCATGCATTTAAAAACCTGTCTTGAAGTAGGGTTTTTGCCAGCTGAAGACAAGAGGATAGTACCTCTATTCCAAGGCTCTCACATTTTACTGGACAATACCTACTCATTAAAATGGTTTTTTTTCCTCTGAAATTCAAATGTGATCATATTGTTTTCCTCAATGTCTCCAGATTGTTTGAAACAGTATAATGTATTGTTTTCTAATATAAGTTTCATTTTTTCACTCTGTTAAAGCATTCAGAGCCCAACACCCTAGTGGTAGTACCTTTCAAATGTATTCATAATCACAGAAGGCTGCCGCTGTTCATTCAGAGCTTCTTTTATGAATTTGTTTTTATGAACCTTTCAATGAATGTGTTTGTAATTAATAGCCTCTAATGCCATTGGTAGGAGAGTCATATATTTATTAAGCCCATAGATAATGCCTGGCTGGACCTGTGGGCCCCCCAGCTCCTTCCCTTACCCTTCCTCTGTTCTGTTCTGCTCTGTACCACAGGAGGGCTGACTCCTGCAGACTACATTTTCAGGCTCCAAGTCCTTGGTGTTCTGGCTGGGTTTGGTCAGTGGGAGGCACTGGCAGGCAGGAGGAAGGCAGAAGCCACTATATTCTTCTTCCTCCCTCTCTGCTCTGGGCAGTGCCTCTGCAGCAGTTCTGTAGCTCTGGTTTTCATAGGACAAACCTATTGTGATTCTGATTCCAGAGGATGTCCCTGGTCCGGGGGCCTTGGTCACACTACCTCTTCCTCATATCCATCCAGCTGGAGGAAGTAATGACTCCCTGCTCTCGCTAATCTCTAGGTAGTCTCAACATCCCTTGTTTGGCTTCTATCATTTGTTTAATCAACTGTCTGCATTGAATTCCTCCTTTTTTACATTCTTAAATAGATTCTGTTTTGCATGATCTGATAATAACATATATATATGCTTTCATTAATTTGCTCTCCCACGAAAGGATCTGCACCCACAGGTTGACAACACTGGCCTATAGAAGAAAATCCCAACTCCTTAGTCTGACATTCGAGGCTTTTCTTGAACTCATCCCTGTATATCCCTCTGGCCTCATCTCTCCTGACAGCCTAATATATATTGTCCACTTCTGTCATACTGCCTTACTTCCAATTCCAGTAACACCTGAGCCTTTTTCATCCCTCTCTGCCCTCACCATTTTAAACTGGGAAGCCTTTCAGTTACCCCAAGCCCCTGTGCTCACTTCTAATGCTGCGTGTACCACATGCCACACTGTGACTGTTTTCCTTCATTTACCCACCACAGCAATCTCTTTGAAGACAGAACCTGGACCTTCTTCCTCCATTGCTTAATCTCTAACACACTATCTAGTACATTAAAGACACTCAGCAATTTGACAGAACAAACATAAAGTTAAAGGAAAGCACAATTTTACTGAATAATCAATGTCAGCAAAATGGGAAGTATAATTTTGAACCTTTCCTTTACTGAAGACAACTGCCTATGTAGGGTTCTTTCCTGTGACATAACATCCATACGCTTATTTTCTTATTCTTAACCAAATAACTGCTTATACAAAAAAAAAAATTGTCCTGAGACCCTGTTAAATTAATTTCTGATTATAACATTTTAAATTGTCAGTATACCCCATAAAGAAAACTTTTTATTTCAAGGATTTCTGCTCTCCCAACTCTCTCTCTCCTTCTCCATTTCTCTCGCTTTTTTTTCATTCCCCCTTGTTCCCTGTCTCTCTGTCTATCACCACTCCCCCTTCCACAGGAGCCTTACTATGTGGAGAGACATGGGAGTTTCCATGTACTCAAGTGTTTGCTGTATTGATATATTCCAGCTCCCTCTGCATAAATTTCACCTAGAGTGTTCCAAGGAGCCCCAGCCTCTTTTCACATGTGCCTTCCATTCCTTACTAATCAGAGTAACTTGACACAAACCATTCAAATCTTGGACTGTATATTTGATAGGCCACACCATTTACCCTAGACTAAGAAAGAGACTGGTTTCAGAGTATGGTTACTCAGTCCTGACAAGCTATTTACAGAATTAAAGAGACTCCAAGAGGCTGGAGTTTGGAGGTTATACCTGACTAAATTGAGGGGAAGCATGAGATTGAAGGATACTAGGAGGAGGAGTATACTTGATTTATTGACTTGCTTTGCTTTTTCTTCTCAGTCTTGTTTTATAAAATTTGAAATGCTTTTATTTACAACTTCTCTGAAGGAATGGTTATTGATCTACAAGCTATTGGAATATACACAGTGTTAGCTGTGCTTAAGCAGGTTACTGGCCTTTAGCCAGGTCAAGCATTACCCAGAGCAGAAAATGCATCATTTCATGACAGCACTTCTGGAAAAGTGGAAAAGGAAAATGGTACACACAGGAAGTTGCCATCAAAAGCACACAAAGGAAACAGCAAGAAGACAAGGGAATAACCTTTCTTTGAAATAAGGCAAAATGAGATATTTATATTATTTAAGACATTTAAAGAGAATTTTACCAGTACAATTTTCCTGAATAAGGGAATCCTTAGAAACTTTGTTATAGAAACATTTCTTTGCAGAATAGGAAAAGAGTTTCAGGGCTTCCCCTGAAACCCCACCACCCAAGATTCAAAGAACTTCCAATTATTTGAGTCAGAGACCAGTTCATGCTTTGAGGAGATATTTAAATCTCTGGGGGCTTTTTGCAACAATATTGCCACAGTTGGCCTTAGTAAAGCTGCACATCTTATCAAGCACAATATCTTCCAGAACATTTTTCCCAGGGAAAAAATATCTCAAAAATCAATCTCAGAAATCAAAAGCACTGCATTTGCCTACACTAATTAGTTCTAGGAATGGGGGCGGGGGAGGGGGAAGAAGGGAAGTTTCAAGAATGCTACATACATGACATGATTGTTTGAGTAATCAGTAGAAAGTTGAAAATATTCACCAAAGGGTGTGGGAAGCCTTTCTTTGGAAGCAGCATCTCCATTTCATGTCACTGAATTTTAAATGATGTGTACCTATTGCAAAATGTCTTAAAGCTTTTAGTTTTGCCTCTTTCCCCATCACCAAAAGCTCCTGCCAGTGGGTGAGCCTTTCTGATGGAAAATGAGCAAACGCTTAAATGAATGTGTCTCCTCTTGAACAGCTTTGGAGAATCCAATAGGACCTTCTGCTTTAGACAAGTGTTTGATTTTTAAAGAGGCAGGAACAATAGCAACTTACTGTTCTGGAAAGATAATGACCTATCTCAAAGAAGGGTCGAGGAAATAGTAAATAATCTTCAACAGAAAAGGGAAAATCTAGCGAAAGTAGAAAATGGGGATGGTATTACATCCTCCAAACCTCCACCTCCCGCCTAAGGGAGGAGGAAAAAGTCCATACACTCATGAGGACCTCCTCATGTCCCTCTTCATAGGAACCGAGCTCTCCTCTAGGAATATTCTTGTTCCCAGGAGCTGAATCAGAGTTAGGAATTACACTTACTGACCCGGACCTCGCGTTTCTGCGGAGACGCGGGAAACAAGACGTGTGCAGTCCGTCTGTCCGATGATAAGCCAGCCGACCTGGAGAGGGCCCTGGAAGGTCCCCAAAGGCAAGTCCGGTTCCGTCCGCTCCTAGGGTCCAGGTCAGCCCGCGCCGCGCGGGCGGGCAGCCGGAGCAGTGAGAGCGGCTGGGCGGTTGGCGCTGCAGGGTCTGCTGCCGACCTCTCAGGCCAAGCGTGCCTGGGCACCGCACTCACTCGCGGGGTGGGGGGTGAGGGTGGGAGGATCAGAGATGGGAGCTTGGGGAGCAGGGCAAACCCCACCCTTAAAGACAACAAAACAGGTGCAGAGGCTGCGGGCGATAGTCCTGCAGGGGAGGGGACTGGAGGAGAAGTTTTGGTGGCGAGCGAGCAGGAACAGTGTCCAGGGTCTCTCCGACGCCTTCCGGGCTTGCAAGCCCGCGCAGCCAGACCCTACCCAGAGGGGCGCCCCCTCGCGGGTCCCCAGCCACCACCTGCAGCTGCTGCTGTCACCTACTGTGTCACCTACTGTGCCACCCCCAAGTTTGATACTCTGGGCTTTTGCACTACCCCTACCTCCCTTTCCTTCCACGAATTTCTCCCTTTGCTCTCTCCCCCCCAGTTCCGCGAGAGATGGCCCGGCGAAGACAGACCTCCTGGACTTGAGGCCGAGTTCACCAAATCCGCCCCGGGGAAAGGCGAGGGCAAAGGCGGGGTGGACCGACCCAGCGGCGGCTGAGTGGCTGCGGTCCCGAGCAGGGCAGGCGAGCGCAGGAGAACTCAGGTTGGCGGGAGGAGGGCCGGGGCTGGAGAATCCCTGCGCCTCGTAGGGGCTGAGAAAATTCCACAACTTCCAATCGAGAGTTGTTTTCTTTTGTGTGTAAGGAGCAGAGATGGGGAGCTGGATCTGCGCAGAACCCCGGAAAAGCGCCAGCAGGATTGCACCGAGAACAAATCCTCCGCTCCCTCGCCCAGGGCTAGGGCGCAGCGCGCTGGTGCTCCTCTGGAGCTGGGCGGTCCCCGTGCTCCAAACAAGAAGGTAAAGTAAGTTCAGATCCTGCTGCCCATGATCAGCAATTTCCCTAACAGATGTCTGCAGACAGATTATAAGTTGGGTAGTGCGGCTTCAGACTCGATAGCCAGGAACCTGTGTTATGAGCTCTGGCTCAGGGCAAAAGCTAGGATAGACATAGGATATGAAAGCTATGGGACACTAATAAAACACAATCTCTCTCTCTCCTGATAGCTGACTTCTGGATCCTTCACTCTTTGATCCTGACCCAAGCCACTCGTGCCACCAGGAGCGCATGCCTCTGGAATACTCGCTCCTGTCTCCTTGTGGTGAAGCCTTCCGCTGATGCGCAGACTCTCCCAGGCTGAATTAGTGGGTAGGAGCAAAACAGGATGGTGGAGACGATCGGCAGAGCAGCAGCGTCTCTTTCCTCGGGATTCCTCCCAGGAACACTATTCGAAGCCATTCCTTCTAAAAGTTTGCAGCCAGTCTCTCTTTCCTTTGTTCGTTTTTAGAGGAGGCAGTAGAGCCACCTACATTAAAAATCCCAAAGCCTGATACTGATAACCTAAGTCTTTACTTAACCATCCTGTTTGGAAGCTTTGCACACATTACTTTTCCTCTATGCATTGGCATTTCTGAAATAAGGATGGTTATACTGGTGTGCTTGGAATTTCTCTGAAATATTCCCCTAAATGATTATACTAAAAATCAGATTCTGCTACTCTAAAAGGAAAAAATATATATTTATCTGTTAAAAAAAAAAAGGCAATACATATTCTCCAAGATGTTAATTAAAGGCTTCTCTCAAATGGATTGGATTTTCAATTCCTTCAGGGTTTTCCACACCCTAAGAGTATTGCAACTGTAAGGCATTTTTACAGTGTAATCTGATTAATCTTCAGTTAATATAGAATTATGCCCACAGGAGTATAGGAATTGTTTATAAAACAAAGCAGTCCAGACTTTTCAAATACCTAGAAACAAAGGTAAACAGAACTGGAAATATCCAACGTGTTCTACACAGTTCCACTGAAAGTCTTTTTGTAGATTTTTTTTTTTTTCCTTAAGAAAGTACTCTTTGCCCAAATATGTGTTCTATGTGACTGGGTCCATTCTTCTTAATATATCTACACTGGTGAAGAATGAACTATATACCAATAAGGTATATTATTGAAAGAGTAGAAATGGATTTAAACAACAACCACAAAAACAAATCAAATATCCAGCAAAGCAGATGAGTGTTGTCTTTCAGAGCAATTGCTTTGGAAAATTCAACTGATTTCAGTGATATTGACTGCACAAAACATTTTTTATCTTCTTTGAAATTGCCTTTCAGAAGCATATTAGCAGCCATAAACAACTATTTGTCTCACTCTCTTATAGATGTGTATTTGTCTTAGTAGATTCATATAGTTCCACAGACATCTAGTCAGCAACCTCAAAAGAGTAAATGATCTCTATGATTAATGTCCTTTAATAAAGTTTAGAATTGGATGAGAAACTGATAAACTGAAATTAAAGTCACTTTATAGTGTATCATGTTATCAAGGATAGCTGTGGGAATTAGCTTATGACACTTTTGTGCATCACAGTCTAATTAATATCCTTAAATGTGCATGCTTATCCTGTGTATTGTAGTAACAACAAACCACTGTGATGAATGTCCATAAACCCAATTATGACACTGACAGGAGATTGGGAGTTTGTGGAATTGGTGGTGAAATATCGATTAATCCAAATTGAAATAGGACAAGATTATTGATGCTTGATTTCTTTTGTATCAAATCATTTAGTTGCTCAGGAAATTCCATTTCTAACCAGAATATGTGCTGTGACTGCTCTTCAAATAGAGAACAGACTCAAACTCACATGCCTGCATGGTTAGGGCCAATGACATAAATGGACCAGCAAGCTAGGTTGTAGGAGAGTGTGGAAAATGGTGATTGCTATAACACCTTGAAGAGCACAAAAGCACATGCTATAGCTGAATGGGGAGATTGCTTCTCAGATTACACTCAGCTGGCCTGCAAAAATCTCAATTCAGTATTGTCAGATCTGATTTTTAAGAGAAGCAAAATCCATATTGTTAAAAATCTTCTGAATTTTAAATAAGCAAAATTAATTTTTAAAAATTCAAAACTCCTAGTGGACAGGCCAAAATAAATAAGAAATAATAGATAGATAGATAGATAGATAGATAGGTAGATAGATAGATAAATAGATAGATAGCAGCCTGACTCATCCTGGGCCTCCAATATTGCAACCTGTGATATTAGTATTTGATGTTTGACAAATCTCCTAAAATATTTAAAACATACTTCTACTACCATTTCCCCTACCCCATTGATCATTTCTCAATGCACAGAAATACAAGAGGAATACAACCAAAGATTAGTTGTCAAATAAGTAATGTTCTTTTCCATATCTGGTTGAATAGATATTCCCAAGGAAATTCTACAGTAAGGGATTTGTTGAATAACTGAACAATCCAAATATTTTAGATAGCTGGATGAAATTTCAGAAAAGCTCTTCATTACAAAAGAAAAAGTTCAATAATATCAGTATTGAGGACCACTTGTGATACATACTTATTAGATAAAGAAAATCATGATGTAGATTTCCTTCAGTGTAATTTCATTTTAACAGCAAAGATGCTTCCTCCAGGGTATAAAGAATTTCATTGTTATTTTCATTATAAAAGTTATTCATAATCATTGTAAAAAGTGAGAATAAACAAAAACAGCAAAGAAGAAATAGACATTATCTCAAACAATGCAGTCCCACAGAACTTTCTGCAATAATGGAAATGTTCTGTACCTGTGCTGTGCAGTACAGTAGCCACTGGATATATGTGACTATTGAGCACTTCACATGTGGCTAGTGCAAAGGAAGAACTGAAATTTTAAGTTGTATTAAATTGTAGTTAATTTGAATGTAAAACTAAATATAGTTTACCCTCAAACAACACAGTTTGAACTGCACAGGTCCACTTATACTCAGATCTTTTTCAACCAAACACAAATGGAAAATACAGTGTTTGCGGATGTGAAATGGCCTTTACAGAAGGTCCGTTTTTCATATATGTGGTTCTGCAGGGCCGACTGCCAGACATGAATGGGTTTTGGCATACGCAGGGCTTCTGAAACCAATCGTTTCACTCCCCACCCCCCACCCCAGTATGCAGAATGACAACTGTAGCCACATAGGGAGCGTAAGTGGTGGACTGTATAAAGTCTAAACTTTCATCATCCAGCATGACCATCATCAGCATATTGGTGTAAAATCTCTACTTTTAATTAACTTTAGCCTGCTTTCTCAACTTTTAAGCTTAAAAAAATGTCAAAAACATATTTCCATTTCCTTAATATAAATAAATATCCTTCCTTTAATGGTTGCCTAGTCATAAACTGTATGATTATATTCTCATGAGTTATTGTTGTTATGGACAAAACCATGAGAAATGATCTTGGATATATTTGCAGTACCCTTGTCCAGTTATTTCTTTCACATAAATGCAGCAGGGAGTAAGAGCGAGGCATTTTACAATTTTTTCCTTGAGCCAAGTTCACATTACATAAACCTTAACCACAAAGGTTAAATTGAATGATGGGAAAACCAAGAAGCTTCTTCCATGAAAAGGCAAATACTTCAGGTAACATGGAGTCTACATAAAGTGTTCAGTATAAAATTTCAGTGACCCCAGGTGGGGAAGATTGAAGTGGTGACTTTTTGGATATGGGGAAACTAAATTAGGAAGAAAAAAAAGCACACGAGAATAAGTTTCTTTGGATTCCAAGGTTTCCTTGTTTCACTCTGCCAGAAAGCTAGTTTGTTTTCTTTTTTGTTTTATTTTATTTTTATTTTTTTATTTTTTTTTCCCAACCTTAACATCAGGGTTTCCTGAGAGATTATTGAATAACTTTCAAGCCATATCAATCTGACTTAAACCCCAGACAGAACAAAGTAGTGAAGTTCGGCTGAAATGTGGAAGCTGATTCCCGAAGAAAAGAAGTAAACCCACAAATCAGGCTACTGGCCAAAAGGAAGAAATTTGAGGAAAGGAGGAAGAGCACAGGACCAAAGAGTGAGGACAGCCAGCTCAAATGGAAGAATTCTCTTAACTCCAGTAATGTAAGAAAAGCTCAGAGAAGCTAATAAAGTCATGTACTTAACTTCCTAGGTTAAACAAACAAAGCCTAATAAGTTCCTAGTTAGGAAATATTAATAATCAAACTAGGCGAACACGTAGTTATGGTGTTTAGCATATTTAAAACTAATTGTCTTGCTTTGTTTAAATGCTCAATACATTAAGTGATTATTTTTAAGCTTATTAAGTCCCTCTTATAAAAATAGTATTTAAACTTTCAATAACTGCCTTGTAGCAAAAATTATGAAACCTAGATATCCTAATGGCCATTTGGTTATAATATAGATTCTCAATAGGTCATATGTATATTTCTGTTTGGATCTATGCCTGCTTTTCCTTTCAGGGAGGAGAAGGAGCAGAAGGAGTTAATACCTGAACAGACATAATTGGGGCTGCATCAAATACACATATAAAAAAGTCTACACAAATGTACTATTTTAAAGTAGTCTTTTTTTAAAAAAACTCCATTTTCTGAAAAACTAGTAAATCTAATTGTGTTTGTTCTGATGAAAAACTGACTTCCTTCTCTTACCTTCATTTGTAGTGAATGGTCCAGTAAAGTTTGAATGGACAAGAAATGGTCATCAAATAGTGAACTTCACAAATCTGGTAGGCTAAATTTCTTAAAATGTTCATATGCAATATGAATAAGGCAGGTGTCTTATTCAAGAAAAGCAAGTAGTCATTCAAAGTAAAATGTATGCTACTTCCTAAATTGGGCATATCATTTGCTATGATTTTTATTTCCTTGGATTTGGCTTTTTATTTTTGTTTTGAGTTTTTAATTGCAGATTCAAAGCAATTAAGCAGGATTATAAGCAACATATGCAGCACGTTGCTGAGATTTTTACTTTTTAGCAATCAACCAAATGGATATTGATACTGGTAAGGAACCAAATCTAAAAGGGTATTTAAATGCAAATGATTCACAGTTTGAATTTTAACTAAGAACAAAGGAAGGGACATTTTTAAGTGGAATTCAGAATTTAATCAATGCAAATTTTCATTTGATTATCTGAAACATGCACAGAAGACCCATGGCTAAAGAGGAAACATGCACTCTTTTAGAAATTTCAATTTTATTTAATAAGTGTTTATCCTTGTAGCATATAGAAACATAATTTGATACATATTTTTGAATCATACACTCAAAACAAATTTAAGTTTTAATTTTTTTTTCAAAAGAGTACAAGTAAAATCAAAGCTCTTTCTCATGCTGAACTACTATTGATATCTCCCGAGAAAGGGGAAGTCAAAGATTTATATACGGTTTTCACATAGCGTTTTGGAGATGGTGAAATGTCTTATTCAAAATAAAAATTTCAGAACATGAAATGAATAAAGCAAGTAGCATTTAATTCATGACTCATTACTGTAAAGGTAAACTGAGGCTGGAGCCGAACCGGGAATGAAGACACAAGGCAAATGGCAGTGAGAATAGCCTTCATTAGAACTCGCAGGCGAGGTTCCTTGGTCCAAAGGTGCGGGCGGAGGAAGTTGTGCTGAGGGAGGAGGGTAGGGGCTTCTTTTTTTTTTTTTTTTTTTTTTTTTTGAGATGGAGTCTCGCTCTGTCGCCCAGGCTGGAGTGCAGTGGCCGGATCTCAGCTCACTGCAAGCTCCGCCTCCCAGGTTTACGCCATTCTCCTGCCTCAGCCTCTCGAGTAGCTGGGACTACAGGCGCCCGCCACCACGCCCGGCTAGTTTTTTTGTATTTTTTTTTAGTAGAGACGGGGTTTCACTGTGTTAGCCAGGATGGTCTCGATCTCCTGACCTCGTGATCCGCCCGTCTCGGCCTCCCAAAGTGCTGGGATTACAGGCTTGAGCCACCGCGCCCGGCCGGGTAGGGGCTTCTTATAGCCTGAGAGGTAGGGAAGCTGGTTGTGCAAACAGGGTCTGGGGGGTCTTGAAACTACTAGGGCAGGAGTTGAGTAAGGGTCATGACGAAGGGGTCTTTGGAAACTGTTAACCGAAACTGCTGTTTACGAACTTGTGGAATGCAGGTGAGCTGCAGGTCATGGGGGAGTGTGTTTGCCCAGCCGGAACTCTGACGCATGTAAGTCTGCGGGTGTGTACAAGGGTGAAGGGAGTCTTTAACAAAAGGCCTGCTATGCGGGTAACGCCACCATGTTGGGTCTAGATTCCTGCCTGAGAGTTACTCTTTTATTATAGAAAAGAATTATATAAAATCCATAAACGATTCTATTACCCACCACTCCTGTAAACAAATCTTTGTTGAGGCTGTATGCTAGACACTGGTCAGGAATTGCACACAGACCTGCTATTGATTGTCTCTAGTCTGTTAAGGGTACACAGGCTTTTAAATAAAGAAATACACTGAACAGATTGAAATTTGTGAGTGGACTCTGACAGAAGCTTTGAGACCCCAAAGAGGAATGGCCATTTGTTGTTTGTTTTTTTGTTTTTTTGTTTTTTTTTTAAATGAATCTTGTGTATGGGAAGAATTAGAGAAATGCTTTATGGAGGAGGTACCCCAACCCTTTGTAAACCTAGATAGAAATACTTCTTGGCTTTAGCCAGCATTGGGATATTGTCTTCTTTATGAAATATATTTCTCCAGTGCATTTAACTGGGATATGTGATACTGAGTCAATGGAGAACCCAGTGGTGAAGAACAATCTTTTACATATGTCAAAGTATAGTTTCCAAAGTTAAGGACATTATTCTCAAACAAAATATATGGTGAGTATATGTCAAAGATCTATTTAATTGATTAAATTAAAGAAAACCTGCACAACAACAAAGTTAATTCAAAGTAGGATCCCTAAAGTGAATGCATATATAGTCAGTGAAAGAAAGAATCCTGGGTAAGACTGATGCATTAATGCAAAAGTGGTAGATATCCTCCTGTGCTATAAAGCCATAACTTTTGGACTTATATTTTTCACCAGGCAGAAATTATTTGCATCTCTGCTAGGAAAAACAAAATTTCACAATTTTCTATAAGTTTGCATCAAACTTTATGAGGCTGGACAATATGGCACACAATAAGTCAAACTAAATAGGTCACTTTAACCTAGCAAGTCAACTGACCTTTACAGACTTAAGATGATGCTCCAATGTGACATTAAAAGGGCATGTGATCATCTTACTCTGCCTTCTTATTGCAACCTAACAAACTACCCCAAAACTCAGTGGCTTAAAACAGTTATTTTATGTTGTTTTTTGTGTATCAGAAGTTCAGGAAAGGCCCAATTAGGCGGTTCATCTCTGATCCATGTGGCATCAACTGAAGATTGATGGTAACTTGACTCACATGTCCTGGCTCCTGGGTTGAGTTGGTGATAGTACCTGGAGGCTCATGCTTCCCCCTGTTTACACATGACAATCTCAGAGTATTTAGACTTATTACATGGATTTTAGCTTTCGAAAGAGAGAAGCTTCTAAAAGAGAGTGTTCTATGTGACCCAGGCAGAAACTATAAGGCTTATTATGACCTCCCAAAGCCCAGAGCATCTGTCCTGCTGATCTTTTGGGGAAACAAGTCTCTAAGATACATTATATACAAAGGGGGAAGAGGAATATACTCTGCCTGTGAATGGGAAAAGGGCATGTATATACAAAGGAGGGAATAAATTGGTGATAGTCTAAGAGAAATATCATTACCCATCCCTTTGCCTTATAGTATATATATTTTTTGCATTTGTAGTTTTTTATTTTATTTTATTTTATTTTATTTTATTTTATTTTATTTTACTTTAAGTTCCAGGATACAAGTGCAGAATGTGTAGGTTTGTTACATAGGTATACTTATGCCGTGATGATTTGCTGCACCTATCAACCCATCATCTAGGTTTTAAGCCCCACATGCATTAGCTATTTGTCTTAATGATCTCCCTCCCCTCACCCCCAAACCACCGACTGGCCCTAGTGTGTGTTGTTCCCCTCCCTGTGTCCATGTGTTCTCGTTGTTCAACTCCCACTTATGAGCGAGAACCTGCAGTGTTTGATTTTCTGTTCCTTCATTAGTTTGCTGAGGATGATGGCTCCCAGTTTCATCCATGAACCTCCAAAGGACATGATTTCATCCCTTTTAATGGCTGCATAGTATTCCATGATGTATATGTACCACATTTGCTTTATCTAGTCTATCATTCATGGGCATTTGGGTTGGTTTCATGTCTTTACTATTGTAAATAGTGCAGCAGTAAACATACATGTACATGTGTCTTTAAAGTAGAATGATTTACATTCCTTTGAGTATATACCCAGTAATGGGATTGCTGGGTCAAATGGTATTTCTGGTTCTAGATCCTTGAGGAATCCCCACACTGTCTTCCACAATGTTTGATACTAATTTACATTCCCACCAACCATGTTAAAACGTTCGTATTTTTCCACAGCTTCTCCAGCATCTATTTTTTCTTGACTTTTTAATAATCACCATCTGACTGACATGAGATGGTATCTCATTGTGGTTTTGATTTGCATTTCTTTAATGATCAGTGATGTTGAGCTTTTTTTTTCCCCCATATGTTTGTTGACCACGTAATGTCTTCTTTTGAGAAGTGTCTGTTCACATCCTTTGCCCACTTTTTGATGGGGTTGTTTGTTTTTTCTTGTAAATTTAAGTTCTTTGTAGATTATGAATATTAGACCTTTGTCAAATGGGTAGATTGCAAAATTGTCTCACATTGTATAAGTTTCCTGTTCACTCTGATGACAGTTTATTCTGCTGTGCAGAAGCTCTTCAGTTTATTGTCAATTTTGGCTTTTGTTGCAACTGCTTTTGGTGTTGTAGTCAGGAAGGCTTTGCCCATGTCTGTGTTGTTAATGGTACTGCTTAGATTTTCTCTAGGGTTTTTATGGTTTTGGGTTTTACACTTAAGTCTTTAATCCATCTTAAGTTAATTTTTGTATAAGGTGCAAGGAAAGGGTCCAGTTTCAGTTTTCTGCATATGGCTAGCCAGTTTTCCTGGCACCATTTATTAAATGAGGAAACCTTTCCCCATAGCTTGTTTTTGTCTGGTTTGTCAAAGATCAGATGGTTGTAGATTTATCGTGTTACTTCTGAGGTCTTTGTTCTGTTCCGTTGGTCTATATTTCTGTTTTGGTACCAGTACCACACTGTTTTGGTTACTGTAACCTTGTATATAGTTTGAAATCAGGTAGTATGATGCCTCCAGTTTTGTTCTTTTTGCTTAGGACAGTCTTGGCTATATGGGCTCTTTTTCAGTTCCATATAAATTTTAAAGTAGTTTTTTCTAGTTCTGTGAAGAATATCAATAGTAGTTTGATGGGAATAGCATCGAATCTATAAATTACTTTGGACAGTATGGCCATTTTAACGATATTGATTCTTTCTATCTGTGAGGATGGAATGTTTTTTCATTTGTTTGTGTTCTCTCATTTCCTTGCACAGTAGTTTGTATTTCTCTTTGAAGAAGTCTTTCATGTCCCTTGTTAGCTGTATTCCTAGGGCCTTATAGTATATTTTAGATGCTATTTGCTTGTTCAATACATGCATTAAAGAGCAACTTTCTGGGAAAGGAAGGACAGCCTCTAAAGTTCCACAATGACAGTTTTACTCTTTGGCTTGCAGTTAATGTGATTATCAGAGCCAGAGACTGCAAAATCTAAAATTTTATCTGCCAATAGAAGCCCAATAGGTAAGAACACACAATGAAAATAGAAGGGATATTTGCAATGTGTGCACTTAGATGAACATGGTGTTCAGTACACATAAACAATTTGCAAAAAGGAAAGGTTACACTGAGAGGCAATTTCTACTTCCAGACTGTAGGTTTATGTAGATTTACCTTGTATTTGTTTTCTTTAACTGAATGGCATTTAAACTTGTTAAAACTCTAGGCAAGAAGACAACACAAGGTTTCCTGGTAGCCAATTTCAATATTTAACTGCCACATTCTCAACACTACCTTCATTGAGGAGCATAGCCCAGGAGGAAGGAACTGTGGAGAACTCCCTGTACTCTATACATGGCCTGATTGCTGAGTAATGCATAGAAGTTGGTCTTGGAAGATCTGAGCACTGTCTTGAATATGTGATTCACCTGCTATGTGATTTGTAAGTGTCATTTAATCTATCTGAACCTCGGATTTCTCCACTGTAAAATAAGAGGGATATATTAAATTTGACAAGGGCATCTGACTCTGAAAGTCAGTAAAATCACTTAACTTTCCCCAACTGAAAAAAAAATATATATATATATATAATATATAAAAAAATGTAGTACTTTATATCATAGGGATATTGTTTAATTTTTAAAATTATGTTTAATTTTAAAAATTATATATATTTTATGTACATGTATTTATATATAACTAATTGTGGAATTTACTAATTTGGTATTTGGTTTGACTCCATTGAAAAAGGGTTATTTATTCATATTCATGCTATTTAATGCTTTCATCAGGCACATAACTATGAAACACGTAGAACATATTAAAATTTTCAGATGATGCTAAGTGCATGGTTCCCAGTTTTGCCCTGATGTAATCCAGGCCACCACAGCAAATTCACATGAGTGCTAATGGGGTATTTGATATTTCAGAGGAAAGCACAGACATGCTCAACACTGATTAGATACCAATATTTAATATCCACTAGGTACTGCACAAAGTACAGCTTGAGCTATTTCACAGGGTCAGTATGAAATTGTGATACACACCTTTTGATGACATACTTTTATGAAGATTAGTTTAAGAAATAGTTGCTGTGATCAAAAGAAATTACCATGTGGAAAGTCAGTGAGGACCAGGAAATGAGAGTAGAAGTGGTATGAGAAGTTGCACAGAGTCCACCAGGCACATATATATCTCATTAGTATGTAGTTGTGTCTATTTAAGAATAAAATAATACAGTTTTCTTCAATTCATATGTATGTTTTTCAACTGGGCATATCTACTTAGTAAGTTGTAGTCTTAGGTGCTTCTTTTGGCCTGGGGACACCATGAAGTTTTTGCTCTCAGACCATGCCTATGAATATTATATTTTGTTCACATATGAATAAAACATAAATTTAATTTAGCTATTCATGTTAGTTCCTTAACATATGACTACCCCACAAAGATGTTTTTCAGTGAAAGTTACTATGAGGAATCTATTTTTTTTTTCACTTATAGAGAGGGTTTAATAAAAACTTGTATATAAGTGCAAGCATGCATACATCAGTATTTTATGGAGTTCTTTCCATTGTTCTGCTTCATCCCACTCTAGCAAGGATGACAGAGAGTTCCTCCCAGTCAGGAAAGAAGGCAAGGAAGTAAGAAGGAAGGAAAGCAGGCAGAAAAGAAGGAAGGAAGAAAGAAGTGGGAGAAGGGACATACAGGCACATAAGGAAAAGTAGAGAAGTCACACAATAGCATAAATTATAAGCACGTTTACACTCCCATTTGTGAACTTAGGTTTATTCAGAAATATGATACCTATACATAATTTAATAGTCATTCAAATATGACATCACTACTAAACTCATTACTGAAAAACGATATAAAATGAAAAATGTTTACCACAAAAGTAGTATGTATTTTAAATGCAAGATATGAAGTTGGATGTACATTATAATCACATATTTTTAAACATGAGAATGAAAAAAAAGCAGAGTAAATATATACAAAAGTTAACTATATTTATGCCATGAGTGCTATATTAATTCTTTCTTCATCTTTCTTTTTGAATTTTCCTAAATGAACTTTATTATTTGGAGCAATTAAAATTATATATATAGAGAGAGAGAGAGTAAAATTTCTTTTAACAGAGCTAGTTCTGGAAAAGTGAAGTGTGGAACTCAACCTATTAGCTATTTAATTCATGACATCTCTTAAAATGAATAAGAATTTTACTGTCTCATCCACACAATTCTTTCCCTCAAACTCTATAGCCTAGATGAGCTCCTTTGAACTGAGGGCCCACATTAGAATTATCAGGGAAATCAGCCCCCCGTATTTCAACATAGGTTCTTTTCTATTTTCCCTAAGTGTAGGCCGGTCTGAGAAATAAAGAGAAAGAGTACAAAAGAGAGAAATTTTACAGCTGGTACTCTGAGGTGACATCACACATCAGCAGGTTCCGTCTGCTGACGGAAGTCCATTGAGCTGCAAAACCAGCAAGTTTTTTTTCAAAAGGGGAGGGGAGTACGAATAGGGAGTGGGTCACAGAGATCATATGCTTCAGAGGGCAATAAAAGCTCACAAGGGCAGGGAGGCAGAGCGAGATCACAAGGCCAGGGCAAAACTAGAATTACTGATGAAGGTTCATGTCCCACTGGGCACATATTGTCATTGATAAACATCTTAACAGGAAACAGGATTCAAGAGCAGACAACCAGTCTGACTAGAATTCGCCAGGCTGGAATTTCCTAATCCTAGCAAGCCTAAGGGTGCTGCAGGAGACCAGGGCATATTTCATCCCTTATCTTCAACTGCATAAGGACACTCCCAGAGCGGCCATTTTAAAGACCTTCCCCTGGGAATGCATTCTTTTCCCAGGGCTATTCCATTCTGAGAAAAAGAATTCAGTGATTTTTCTTCTATTAGCTTTCTGTAAGAAGAGAAATATGACTCTGTTCTGCCTGGCCCCACAGGCAGTCAGACCTTATGGTTATCTCCCTTGTTCCCTGAAAATCACTCTTATCCTGCTCTTTTCAAGGTGCCCAGATTTCATATTGTTCAAACACACATGCGTTACAAACAATTTGTGCAGGTAACGCAATCATCACAGGGTCATGAGGTGATATACATCCTCGGCTTATGAAGATGACAGGATTAAGAGATTAAAGTAAAGACAGGGATAGGAAATTATAAGAGTATTGATTGGGGAAGTGATAATGTCCATGAAATCTTCACAATTTATGTTCAGAGATTGCAGTAAAGACAGGTGTAAGAAATTATAAAAGTATTAATCACAATTTATGTTCTTCTGCCATGGCTTCAGCTGGTCCCTCTGTTCAGGGTCCCTGATTTCCTGGAACAAGAATCACTGGAGGTACTTTATAAGTATACAGATTATGGGATCCCCCCCCTGGCCACAGAGAGTCCTCTTTGGTACATCTGGAAGGCACCACGGGACCACAGGAAATTCTGTTACTTCAGCTTCACCACTCTTGACTATGACTGTCTCCTTCAAGCACCTGCACGTCTTCCCTATTCCCTTATTAAAATGCTTTTCGGTTATCTTTTTCTCTTCTCTAATTCAAACTACTACTCAAAAGAATTCCAGACATAATTCAAATCCTATGCACAAAAAGACATGGACCATCTTTCTGAGCCCTAGTTACTTTCAGTCACTCCTGCCATTCCATACTGCCTTGACTTCAATCTATAATCTCAATTTCAGTCCCATTGAGCCCATGATTATATCATTCTGTTCAAGATAATTATATTAGCATTTGGCCATTATCTTCAGCATCTTTCTTTCCACCATTCATGACTCTTTCAAAGTTTAAAAGGTAAAGTATGTGAATTTTCTTTTTAGTGCTTTATCCTCTCCCTCCCTCCATGATAACCTACTCTCAGGAAAGCCTCTGAGGTAATTCATGCTGAGGTGTCAGCAACCCATAGTGGGGAAAAAAAGATGAAGTAGAAAAAGTGAAGCTGAGAGAAGAATGCTGTAACTATAAAATGTTAGACACTGACCAGGATGTAAAAGGAGTGTAATTTTGGTTTAGTTACATTTTTGGATTTTAGCAGCAAGATCTGCTAAGTATTATCATGCAAGGGCAATGCATTTATGATTTTTTTATTCTTAAAAATAATTACTAAGACCTTCTTTAATCCTTTAACATGTAGATGACACTTGAATAAAACTTTCATTTTTTGGAATCCGTTCTACACTTTCTTTATCATCACTGAGTTATTTTCTTAACACTAATAACTAAGAACAAATGTTATACCATCTTATAAACTTCTAACAACTCTGTCTTCTGGCATCTTTTTGTGATTTCTTCTATTTCATGGAAGTTTTTAAAAATAGCTGTAGTAAAGCTTCTGACTGGTTCATTCATCTTGCTCTTGGTCTGCTAGCACATCTAAATTTGATAAAGAAATCGTTTTGTTTGGAGATTCAGATTACCTAATTGAGTTTACCTGAAACAGGGAAAGCATACAGAAAA